ATGGTGAATGTGGGAATCAACAGTATGGAGTTTGGATGGCCACTACGGTCACCACATTAGCTGCTTTCTTCATTGCCACTAAAGGAATTAAGCAACAAAGGAAGAGTTTCATTCGGCTCACAGCTCTAGGGTACAGTGCATCCTGGGAGAGGAGCATGAGGCAGCTGGTGACATTGCAGCCATCCGTGCAGGATGCACAGCAGAAGCAGGGGGCTGCAGAAGCAGAAGCTGCAGGAGCAGGACACAAATGCTGGTGTGCAGGCCGCTTTCTCCTTCTACTCGGCTGAGGACCCCAGCCCATGAAATGGGTGCTTAGGGTGTCCCATTTGGGAGCCCCACCCCCCACGACACACGCGCCCAAAAACTTGTTTCCCAGGTGCTTAGATCTTGTCAAGTGGACAATCCATTAACCGCCACAGCCCCGGCAAGGAACAAGCAGAGCTACGTTTTTAAAAATTAGTGACAAGTAGCACAGATCTCGAGAAATTCCAGAACAAGGTACCCCGAAAGTGGTCCGCCGAGAGTTCTGAGCCGGTGATGGGGAGGCCGGCCCATGGCAGCTCTTTGTGCTGGAATTGTCCCTCGAATTTCAAGATGCTTAGCATCCCTAGCCTGCGTGGGGCACGAGCCAAGCAGCAGCACCCCTGCCCCACCCCAAACACAGCTTCTAGACGCTCTCCTCTTCTAGAGGCGGAAGGGCACTTTGCCTGTGGGGAAGCGCTGGGTGGGGCAACAGTTCATGCTTTTAAAGTCTCTTTTTTTCTCACTGCCCCCCCCCCCACTTCCAAAGACTTCTGGGAAATGGAAACTACGCTCTCACTCTTTGAAAAGGAGCTGACAAGATGGTGATTTAGATCCCAGCCCTCAGTCCACCGGATCTGTATGGCCTCAGCTAAGTTTGCTTGTGACAGTTAAGTAAATAAGAGGGGACTTCACGTTACTACCCGGATGCCATAGTTCATCTGAAAGTCACCAATAACAGGAAGGGTTCAATTAACTGGGATTGTTGCAATCACTTTGATTCTGTTTCAAGCGCTTGTAATCGTTGCAAGATTGTAACATCCTACAATTCCCAGGTCAAGTACTGGGCTGTTACCAGCTTGTAATAAAACTGTAAAAGGAAAGAAACCCCCATAATTTGGTTTCAACATAGAGTTACCATGGCACAGCCTTGAGTGTTAGCCGGTTGGGCTACAGCCACACCCCTGCACCCGGAAGGCCAGGCATGGAATTTGAATGACAGATACAGGGAAATGGGATTTGCTCTCTATTGTTTCATTTTTAACGGTTCAAACGGAAGTCATTTCTTGCAATGAAAGTAGCAAGGGGATGCAGGTATGTCTTAAGAAATGGGACAGCAGAAGTCAGAAACACCCCCCCATTCCTCCACCTGCTGATAATCACCCTATTTCATGATGTTCATACAACAGCCCCAGGTACCCTTATCTTGACCCAGAAGCTAACTCATGAACAAATAAGGTCCTTAGAATAAAACAGAGGGAACTGGAGCGATGGCTCAGAGGTTAGAGCACTCACTGCTCTTCCAAAGGTACCAAGTTCGTTCCCCAGTACCCAAACCAGGTGGTTCACAGAAATGTGTAACTCCGGTCCCAGAGGATCCAATGCCCTCTTCTGGCCTCCGCAGAGACACAGACATAGACATAGACAGACGAACACACACAATCAAAACTATGCACGGGCACGGAGAGGGGAGAGGGAGCATGTGTGGTGTGTGAATGCTTGCCTGTGTGTTCCTGAGTGTGGGTCCAGGGACCCCGCTTTGCCTGCCAGTCTGTTTGAGGCAGGTGTCTTTGTTGTTTGAGGCTGCGTGTACACAGGCTAGCTGGCCTGAGAAGGCCTGGGGAGTGTCCTCCTCCTGCCTCATGCAGGAGAGCCGTGACTACAGATACACTCTACCATGTCTGGCTTTTCAGTGGGTCTGGGAACCTGAACTCAGGTCCTCACACGGTGTGTCACTTAAGGTGATGCTCAGCATCTCGAATGTGCAGTCTCTCTAGGCTGCACAGGCTAGCCTAGAGCTTGTTATGTAACCAGGGATGACCTTGAACTCCTGATCCTCCAGCCTCTGTTTCCACTTAAGTTACTCTGCAGCTCGGTTGTGAGGTGTTCACCATATCTTAGGTCAACTGGCTACTGGTTAACCCAGACCACCTGATGGCTACGGTGGAACACAGGCAGGGCTGAGCTTCAGATGGTTCGTTTTTCTATTGCTGTGCTAATTCACCATGGTCAAGGCAACTGATAGAGGAGTTTAATTAGGCTTATGGTTCCAGAAGGTTAGAGTCCACATGGCAGACCAAAGGCATCAGAAGCAGGTAGCTGAGGGCTCCCATCTTAAGCCACAAACAGAAACGGAAAGAGTGCATTGGGAATGTGCTCACCTCCAGTGACATACTTCCTCCAACAAAGCCAAACCTAAGACTCCAACAGTGCCAGCAACTGAGGATCAAGTTTTCAAATATCTGAGACTATATTATTCAAATTATTATTTGAACATACTCAAACTACCACAGCCTGAAAAAGCTTTGTCTTTTGGGGTGGAAAGGCAATGCACAGTGTCTAAAATGAGCAACAAACTTCAAGAGACAGTACTACAAACATGTTATTCAGAGACATCAAGGCAGCTCGGTGGTAGAGTGCTCGCTGGCAAGGCCCTTCAATCCTGGAAACCAGCATAATAGAAAGAACTGACTCCCTCATGCTGTCCTCTAACCTCCACACTCATGCCGGCCAAATAAACAAACAGAATAAAATAAAAATATAATTCAGAGCTCCAAGAGATCTGAATGTGGCTACCTCTAGTACCTGCTGAAAAACATAAAGACCTAGCAGGGAATGATGGGGCACACCTTTAATCCCGGCACTCAGGGAGGCAGAGGCAGGTGGATCACTGTGAGTTCTAGGCCAGTCTGGTCTACAAAGAGAGTCCAGCACTTTGCTTCCTCAGGACACCCTGGCCGAAGGCAAAGACAACAGACAGTGGCCGCCCCCAGCAAAAACCCTGTCTCAAAAACAAACAAAGAAAAAACATAAAGACCTGTGTTTGGACCCCCAACACCCATGTAAAAATCTGGGTGTGGTGGTTCACGCCTGTAATGTTAGTGTTCGAGCCAGGTGGAGCCCAGAGGAGCCCAGGTTCAGCGAGATTGAGCCTCAGAAGATGAGAGGGAGGGCTGGTAAGACGGCTCAGCGAATAAAGGTGTTTGCCACCAAACCCGACAACCTGCTCCAAACCCCGGGGACCCACACGGTGGAAGGAGAGACCGACGGACATCCCAAGGAAAGAAGGAGGGGAATACAGTAAAGTGTCTTCATGCCTCTCCCCAGCCTCCACCGTGCCTGGCTGAGAGAGCGTAGCCACACGTGCGCACGCGCACACATGTATCGAAAAACAACTGCACGGGAGGATTTATCCACGGGGTTTCCCACCTTTCTCAGAAGGCTCGCTGCAGCCTCAGGAGGCCCACGCCAACCCGTCAGCACTTGTGTCTAGCGACGCGACTGCAGGCGCTTTACGCTTCTTCTTTTGCTCTTTTCGTTTTCTGGGAAGATGTGTGACAGAGAGCACGTGGACCGCACACCAGAAAACACGTGGTGGTGGTGGTCCAAGCCACCGCGCCCAAGGCCCAGGGCAGTCACTTGAGCGTCTGTTTGCTGAGGCGGGAGAGCCTGCCAACTCCCTCACGCACACAGCAAATATTTGTGGAGCTCTTTAAGGCCAGGCCGGGCCTGCACTGTGACTCTAATACTTTCGGCCATTTGTGAGGGTTCCAGACAGCCTCAGGGCTGGCTGGGCCAACCACTTGGGAGATGAGCTAAACCAACACTTTCCCAACACTTTATGGAAGCTGGGGTGGATCTGAGACCGTGGAGCGAGCCAGCTCCCAGGATCCATACAGCGATTGCTTAATATCGCTACCCGAGAGGCCTCAGCCGCTTCTAAACCACCATCAACCCCCGCCCGACTGTTCAGCTTTCATCTGGGCTGGATCATCAGTCTCCGAAGCTTCCGTGGGTCCGACCCCGTTAGGCTGCGTAGGTGCAATCTCCGTAGCAGGTAGGAGCAGAGAACAAGAAAAAGGCAGGCTTGGGTTGAATCTCCGCTCCACCACCGCGGCGGAGCTTTACCCCTTGCCCTCTCTGGGCCTCAGTTTCCTCACGTGTAAAACGAGCTTCCTGGCAACCACCTTCACAGGGGGGCGTTTCGGGGACCACCCGCCCAGGGCTTCCTCAGGACACCCAGGCAGAAGGCGAAGACAATAGACAGTGGCCGCCAGCAGTGGTCAACAGAACTCCAGGCGGAAGGCCTGGCTTCCAAGGGCGAGCATGTGCGCGCCCTGCCCCCTCCCAGGCACGCGCCCAGCCCCCACCGGGACGCGCTCGGTTCTCAAAGAGGCTGACACCCTCGGAGTTTATTCGGGGGAACTTTCTTGACTCAACTTGACTACGGGAAGATAATCACGGAGACAGAAAGTTCTCTCTTTCATAACTAATAATAGGGGAAAATGTTAAAACCGAGATACGGATCGGTGGTAGAGCGTCCGCCTAGCACGCGAAACTCTGGGGTCCGGCCCAGCACTGTGGAGGGGGCAGTTTGAGAAAAGCTTTGTTTTCGGGGACCGACGCACGTGGAGATCAGGTGAGGGAGGCCCTAGGTATTCCGCGCCCCTAAGTATCTGGCCCTCGGGATAGGCCACCATCCCCGAAAGAACACTGCAGGCTGGGCAAACTGTGGGCGCGAAGACTGCCTCCCCCAGCACACATCCTGCGGGTCCCGAGCGCCGGTCCCCACGAGAGCCCGAGGCGAAAGAACACGGCTGTGAGTTCTGCGCTTTACAAAGAAGTCGCGGCTGAGCTCAGGAGCGCTCCCGGAGCCCGCGGGGAGACCCGGGCCGGCTCGGTGGGCGGAGCCGGGGACGCGCGAGCCAGCCGGGTCCACCTGCCTCCCTCCGCCCGGCCCGGCCCGGCCCGGCACTCACGATCTCGGCCACGATCAGGAGCCCCGGCGCGGTGCGGAGGAACTCCCGGTCGTAGGCGAAGCTGCTGCTGGTGGTGGAGAAGTTCTCCGCGAACGAGCTGGCGGTGGTGGTGACCGTGTGCGAGCGCGCGCGCTGCTGCTCCTCCATCGTCGCTCCGGGAGCTGGCCCGGGTCCCCGGGGACCCTACCCCCACCCCAGAGAGTCCCCGGGCTCAGGGTCGCGGGCCAGGACCAGGGAATCGCGGCTGTGGGAGGTGGGCGCAACGGGGAGGCCTCCGGGCTCAGGCCTGCGAGTGTCCCCCACTCGTCGTCGTCGCGCGCGCTCCGGTCCTGAGCGGGGACCCCGGAGCGGGATCGCCGGCAACCGGTGGCCGCGGACAGCGGGGGAGGGGAGGGGAGGGAGGGGAGGAGCGTGGACGAGGCGGGTGGGGGGCGGGCACTCGGGGACCTCCCCTCGGGGGCGCCGCCGCGCGGTCACTGCACCTGTCTCGGGCCACCGCGAGCTCTCGGGGGTGTAGGGGCGCGCACGGGATCGCCCCGGGAGGGCGGCACCTCCCGGTCGCACCCCTGGTCGCTCTGGCCGCGGTCAGGCCCCGCCCACCTCGGGCCACCAGTCTGGGACCTGCTTCCTCCCACCTGGCCGGACTGGCAGCAGGGCCTCTTAAGGAAACCCAGGCCTCCAGGGACGTGGCGGCTCCGGGACTCAGACAGCCAGGCGGATGGGGGAGGCTGGAACCGTGACCCAACCGGACCTTAGACCCGGGATCAGAGCGAGGCCGCTTGGCCAATCCTCGCCCCCTCCGCCGCTAAAGCCGCTGCTTCCTGCCCCTCCTGTCGGGAACAATTTGAGGAACCAACTTAACCGCTGGGCTGTGAGAGCGAGACGCTTCCAGGACTAGCTGGAGCGTGGAGAGGAAGAAGGAAGGTGGGGAGATGTTCGCGGTGCTGGGTCAGGATGTGTCATTGTGACCGTCCTCATTAGCCTTGGGGGGGGGGGGAACCCACCGACTTGTTTCAAACAAACTGGACAGGGGCCGTCTGTGCAAAGTGAAGTTTATGACAAGCTGGCTGTGCTTTCCTGGGGTCGGGGAGGAGGGGGTGGACATCTCATTGCCGGTCAAATGGGTGCTGCGCTGAACCCTGGGCGCCTGTGTAGGTGGCGTGAAGTCACTGCTTCTGCTTTACTGGTCCTCAGTGGTACGACTGGGTTTCAAGCCAGAAGAAGGTAAGAGCTTTGATGGATGGTGGACACGTGGCCAAAATTATCCGCTTCCCTGTGCCTGTCCCCCCTCCTGCGTTTTGAAGACTGACAGTAAACATTTAGTCTGAACCCACCAACTGAGGAGGAAATACTCCTGTCAAAATGCAGCTCTGAATTCAAAGTGAAGGCAGAAGAGGTTTTGAAAGTGGTCAGAAGGTGTATCCCACTGCAGAGCAGGAAAGAAAGCACAAATAGCAAACTAATAGAAGGAGTCAGTTCTTTTTTTTATTTTTGGTTTTCCTATGTAGTCCAGGCTAGCCTGAAATGCAGAGGCCCACCTCTGCCTCCAAAGGGCTGCGGTTAAGGATGTGCACCACCGCACCTCTGCTTGCTTATGTTTCTTGTGCCTTGGTGTTTTGCCTGCGTGTCTATCTGCATGAGGCTGTCACAGCTCCTGGAACTGGGGTTACAGATCATTGTGAGCTGTCGTGTGGTTGCTGGGAATGGAATCCAGGCCCTCTGACAGAGCAGCCAGTGCCCTTAACTGAGCCACTGAGCCGTTTCTCCAGCCTTAGAAATTCAAAAATTTAAGCTCCACTGTAGACCACTGAGGACAGAGTCAGGAAGCTGTTTAGAAATAAGCCCTGCAGAAAACACATACTCAGAGAAGCAATTAATGCTGCTGGGGAGGAGAGACTCCGACATCCGGGCAGTGTAAGGCACCACTTGGCACACACAGTCAACACCTAAGACAGGAGGGCTTGGCAATTCTAGTCATGATACAAAGGACACTCCCTACCACAAACCTTAGGGCCAGAGGCCTTTCAGAGTTCTGACTTTTCTTTGCATTAGGAAAGTACAATAAGTGGCCGGAGAGAAGGCTCAGCCACGGAGAGCAAGAAAAGTCAAAAAATAAAATAAAAACAAAAGCAAAATAAATACATATGCCATTTTCTCTGTGTGTGTGCATGTATGTGGAGTGTGTAGATGTGTGTGTGTGCATGTATGTGGAGTGTGTAGATGTGTGTGTGTGCGTGTATGTGGGGTGTGAGGGGAGCGTGTATTCATGTATGTGGGATGTGTTCATGGAGTGTGTGTGTGCATATATGTGGGATGGATGAATGTGTAGCATGTATGTGCATGTATGTGTAGAGTGTGTGTGCATGTGTGTGGGCTGTGTGAATGTGTGCAGGGGGTGAATGTCTCTGGGAGCGTACCAGGCCAGAAGAAGACATTCAGTGCTCTTCTGTGTCACTCTCTGTTTCACTCTCTTGAGACAGGGTTTCCCACCGGTCCTGAGGTTTGCTGGCATCCAGCAAGCCCCCTGTGATCCCCCTGCATCTACCTTTGACAGCACTGGAGTTAGAGACAAAGTTGTGGACACACTCAGCTTTTTATATGAGGGCTGGGGATTTGAACTCAGATCCTCAGGGCTTATGCAGCAGGTTCTCTTCTCCACCAACCATCTTCCCAGGCCCAATAAATGCACACCTACAGTGCATGACACAAGTACCGTGAGCAAGGTCCCAATCAACTACACTGATTTTCTGTAGTGGGAATGCATACGTATGTGGTTGGGTTATCTATTTTAGTGTAAAAAGTATTCTGAACATCAGTAGCTTAAAATCACCATTTTATTTGCTCAGGAAACTGTTGGCTATGAATTGCAGCTAGGCTTGGCAGGCAGGTTCTTCAGCTCCCTGTGGGGTTGGAGACATGCTTACAGCTGGCAACTGGCTGGGCGAGGTGGTTCTAAAGGTGTCCCTCCCATACACGCTACGGAGTTCTCACCTGGCTCACTTTTCCATGAAGCTGGACTCTCTTAGAGCATGGTGGGCCCTGAAGCTGCTGGCTACCAAGAGGGGCAAAAGCGAAGTCCCTGAGAAGAGCGACTTAAAGAAGGGAGGCCTCGCTGTGGCTCATGGTCTGAGAAGGGATGCAGTCCGCCATGGCAGGGGAGGTGTGATGGCAGGAGCGTGGGGCAGCTGGCCACACGGTACCCACAGGCAGGAAGCAGTGGTGGTACTCAGTTGGCTTTCTTCATTTTCCTCTGTCCTGGTCTCCAGCCTGAGGTATAGTGCCACCCACATTCAGGGTGAGTCTTTTAAACTTCCCTGTAGATTTTTCCTCAGATACATCCAGAGGTGTGTCTGTTAGGTGATTCTAAATCCAGCCAAGATAACCTGAAGATGAACTATCTCGAGCAGGGACTTCAGGCCCAGACCCTCAAGATATATAGCATCTTCAAAACCAAACCAAACACACGGGCAGATTCTACTGGCAAAGGCCAGCCCAGATTCAAACAGGAGAAACAAACATCTCCTTTACATGGAAGGAGGCTCACGGAGTTATGGCCATCTCCTGATCTAAACACAAGACATGATGATAAATCACTTCAGTCCGTCTCAGCTAAATTTCTCGTCTACTGTGTTCTCTGCAAACTTAAGAAGCTCTTCCCTGAGGACTTCATGTGGAACAGAACTTAGAGCTGAGACCTGCAGGAATACAAACTTGAAGAAGAAGGCAGGAAGATGGGGACATCCTGGGAGCCAGCCAGATGGCTTGCTAGATTAAGGCATTTGTCACCACGGCTGGGACCCACACAATGGAAGGAGAGAGCTGATACCTGCAGGTTGTTCCCCGACCTCTAAACACAAGTGGTAGGACGGCCCCACCCCAAATATGAATACAGAGCTAAAACAGTCAAGTGTGGTGGTTCACATCTTCAGTCTTACTCAGGAAGCACAGGCAGGCAGATTTATATTCGTTTCAGGCTAACCTGGTCTACATAGCTACACAGTGAATTCTAGGTTAGCCAGAATCACACAGTAAGCTGCTGTCTCAAAACAAAACAACAATTCTAACTTCATCTGGGCCTAGAGAGAGAGCTCGCTTGCTGCTCTTGTAAAGACCTCTCAAGTTTGGCTCCCAACCTCTATATCAGAGGGTTCACAATGGCCAGTAACTCCAGATCCAGGGGATGGATGCCTCTGGCCTCCAAGGCATCAACACTCACAGGAACTCCTCCATCCCCATATACATAATTAAAATTTTAAAAAAAGTCTATTTTAAATTAAAAATTTCAAACAAAAGATAAGCTATCACGACAGTCTCCAGCCATCCTCATTGGCACAAGTGCCAGGTGAGCTGGTCAAAGAGCAGCAAAGTGGCAGGGGGATCCCAGGAGACTTACATGGACATATTATCCAACAAGCAAATAAGACACAGCCGTCTCATGGGCTCAGAGTGCCTAGAAGTCAACAGCAGCTTAAGTAATTTAGAGGACAGTTTGTGGCTTCTGCCTACTAGCTAAGAGAAGACCATGGCACAGTCTCATTTATAAGGTTGTCTTTATAGGTTCACCTGTCATTTATTTCTTTTAGTTATTCTATTACTTTTAAATTAAGTATGGCTAGTTCAGGCAAGAATCAGCAGTGGGCCAGGCAGTGGCACACGCCTGTAATCCCAGCACTCTGGGAGGCAGACGCAGGCGGATCTCTGTGAGTAGGAGGCCAGCCTGCTCTACAAAGCGAGTCCAAGCCAGCCAAGGCTACACAGAGAAACTCTGTCTTGAAAACAAACAAACAGCAAACAAACAAGCAAAAAATCATCAAAGGATGTTAGGATTCTTGGGTGCAAGTAGGATGAGAAAAGACCATTTATATCATCCCAAAGACCCTCCCCAGAAACTGCTATTTCCTCCCCCACTTCCCGCTTGAATTTTATAACTGCAGGAGAGAAGCCCATGAAACCCAGTGGACATTGTGTACTTCTTGATATGATGTGATAAGAGAATACAACCCACATCCAACTGTGGACTGAGTTCAACCAGGAGGAAATCGTAGACAAAAGCTAGGAGACAAGAGCAGACAAAAGGCGGCACATACATGTAATCCCAGAGTTGGAGAGGTAGAGGCAGATACCGGGGCTTGCTGGCCAGCCAGTCCAGCCTACTTGGAGAGTTCCAGGGTAGTGAGAGACACATGCCCCTCAGCTCACTGTCTTATGCACAAGATTGGGGGTGGGGTGGATTGGAGCTGGAGAGATGGCTCAGTGGGTAAGAGAACATGTTGATCTGCTCTTGCAGAGGACTTGGGTTTGATTCTCAGCACCCACATGAAGGCTCACAAACCCCTGTGCATCTAGACCCAGGGGACCCAACTCACTCTTCTGGCATCCACAGACTCTTGAATATATGT